TTGCTGCAGTTTAAGCCCATTGCCTCTTGTTCTATCCTTAGAGGCTAAGGTGAACAAGTTTTCTCCCTCCTCCTTATGACACCCTTTTAGATACCTGAAAACTGCTATCATGTCCCCTCTCAGTCTTCTCTTTTCCAAACTAAACAAACCCAATTCTTGCTCTAGCTCGCGCAGCAGGCCAGCGGTAGAACCATGAATTGAGCTGAGGACTCCTAGTCCAGTCTCCTGTGCACTGGACCGCGTTGCCTCTCTGTTATTAGTCTTTCCAGAATTATAACATGGAAAATGCCAATTTCTTTATGTCCCTGGCAGGTTTAAGACCGAGGTGAATTACGACACCCTGGAAGTGCGAGACGGCAGGTCCTATTCCTCCCCACTGATAGGGGTCTACGATGGAACTCAAGTGCCCCAGTTCCTCATTAGCACCAGCAACTACCTCTACCTCCTCTTCTCTACCGACAAAAGCCACTCCGACATCGGCTTTCAGATCCGATATGAGAGTAAGTGTAGTGCCCAGCAGCACAAAAGGACTCAATCAAAGGCCCATTGGAGCTACTTTTCCATTCTGCTATGCAGTTAGCGCTGTTACTCTTAAGTGTTTTGAGGACCTCAAGCTATTGCAATCTGATAACAGCCTCTCATTATGATTATCTTTATTGCTATTTATTTTATGTTATGTGCAACAACTTGAAACAACATCTTCAGAATAGATTTTTTTTTTGTAAGGAAGCAGATTCGACTTCCTCTTTCTGTGTTATCCCCTCACCTTGAGACTAATCAGTGGCACCTCAGAGGAACAGCCTGTGAGGATCCCAGCTTGTCAACGACCCATTACAGCGCAATCCTTGCAGACGTTCGAGTGATTTTATGGGAGTCAGAGGAGGGTGCTTGGCTAGAGAGAGGAACTTGTGTTTGTTAAGCATTGTGATTATTATTCGGTGGTTATCATTACCTGCATTGATTAACGTGCCCATTGCAGTGGCATCTGGGTGTGCATTGATTGAGTGAAACACATGTTTATGGGCAAGCTGTGTTCTCCGATACTGTCTGCGCAAGTCATGCGTCTTCTGTTGACTTCAGCGGCAGTCTTTTTTTTCTTGTTTTCTCTCTTCAAAAAACACCTGTCAGTTGCTCTAAGTGCTATGCTGTATGGTGTTTGTGTGTCTGTCTATCAGTCTGTCTATCTGTCTATATACATAGATATAAAATATGTGGGTGTTGGCATAGATAAATAAATACGTCTCACATAAATTATATCCAGCAACAAACTACGAACGAACTCAACAAAAGCAAGGAATACGTTTGCTATTCATCTGCGACCATATGGTCCAGAATAATCACCCCACAATGATGTTGATAATGACAACACTTGTCAACCATCATCTCCTTCAACAAAGCCTCTTTCTCCCCCCACCCCCGGCCTTTGCTCAGTTGAGGCGCTTTGCTGCATGCCTAGAAGAGTAAGGACTCTAGGCTCTGGCGTTCCAAAGTGGGAGCAAAATCCATAGTCCAAGGACCTGAAGAGAGAAACCCAGCCACCTGCTGCTTCCTGTTTAAACTGAGAGGGATGCAGCTGAAGCCCCTCCGCTAGGTGCAGCATCAGTCGTTGCCATGGGATGTTCAAGGGCAATCTTCAGCCCTGCTGCGCTCACTGTCAGAACTCTGGTGGAGATAGCTCTGTTCCCCACCAGTCCTGGGTATCCCGCTTCACGCTTTCACTGCCACTCCTGAACAGCTGAGTGACACCAAACCTACCCATTCCAGGCAGTGAACACCATGCTGTCTGAGTGCTTCCCAGCCCAGGGATGATCCAGGTCTGGGGAGCAGAACTGGGGCCAGCCCAGGTCTTGTGAATGTTTCTCAGATAGCACAAGAATGATTTAAAAGTTCATGATAAAATTCCTCCTCCCCATGCAGCCACCTTCCGGTTAGGGGATACAGAGGGATCTAGTTGCTCCTGTTAAATCTCTGATGGTTTCTTTGCTGCAGCTGTGAAGCTCCAGTCAGATCATTGTTTGGACCCCGGGATCCCCGTAAATGGACAGCGCCATGGGAACGATTTCTACGTGGGAGCTCTAGTGACGTTCAGCTGTGATTCGGGCTACACCCTGAGCGACGGAGAGGCTCTTGAGTGTGAGCCCAACTTCCAGTGGAGCAGGCCTCTGCCCAGCTGTGAGGGTAAGGGTTTTGGAAAAGAACATCTGGAGGAGGGGAACCCAAGAGTGGTGAATTCTCAGCATCCTGTGTAGGGCTGATGTGAATCACATGGCTGAAACACATGTGAAGCTGGTATTTATGTACAATCAGTGCCATTAAAATTCTGCAGTGACTGGAATACTACAATACCTCGAGTATCCAGGGCAATGATCATGTGAAAACTGTAGCTACCACTTTACTGGAGGGGCCCGAGGCAGGGATTGTTGAATTTCTAACAGCACCTACTCTGTGAATCTTATTTGTGATTTCACAAGCAGTGTTTCCCCGGGGAGGGAGGCATGTTGGTGTTCACCAAGAATAACTATCCTTCTGAATGTCTGTGGTTTATTGGAGGGGCTGGTGGTGAATTTAGTTTGCATTAGAGGGGCCCAATTTACAGATCTGGACAACAAAAGTCTCTGCTGATACACAGAAAAATTACAACAGCAGACCGCTTTTCCCCCATACTGCCCCCTGAGTGTGCACCCGTTCTGATCTGGGCCAGTTTCTTGGCGAGCAAACAGGTAGTTTAATCTCCGTGGCCCATTCAATCCCTGGCCATTGGTCCATTGCCTCTGGCATTCTCTCTCTGGCAATGCCCAGAGTGCAGGTGAGGCAAGAAAATGAAGGCATGTAAAATGCAATTGGCCACAGTGCAAAGCTATACATAGGGAAGGGGAAGGGTTATTTTCCCTGACTTGTGCAATAATCAAGTGTATGCCCTGATGCAAGAGTTTTGATTAGCTGTAACCATGGGTAGTATCACTGATCATAAAATTAGTCATTCACTGTAGCCAGCATGGGTCCCCTTCTTCAGTGGGTGCCATAGGCTGACTGCGGCATGCCACATAGCAAAGTATTTCCTTTGTACGTTCTAAATGTACTTAGTGTGGATTTCATCACATTGTCCCCAAGGGGAAGGGAAGAAGAGCCTTTTCTGCCCTAAATATCCCTGCCCAGTTCTCTCTAGCTCGTCTCCTTTTTCATAGTCACTCCGTTGGCTTGTCTGATTTTAGCACGTTTGATTTTTGCAGCTCTTTGTGGAGGTTACATCCGCGGCTCCAGCGGCACCGTCTTATCCCCAGGCTTTCCTGATTTCTACCCCAATAACTTGAACTGCACCTGGGTGATAGAAACTTCTCACGGCAAAGGTGAGACACCTTTAGATTAGGGTGGTTTTGAAAAGAGGCCGTGCTGTGGGATAGTGTGTGTGTGTGTGTGTGTGGTGGTCGGGGGGGCGGACACAGCGTCCCATGTAAACATGATGGTTGGCTTGCAGAAGAGACAAGGGCAACCCAAAAATAGCCCGGGTGTGTTGGAATCTCTCTCTTTTGTTTCCCATCAGTCCTCGCAAAAGTGATATGGGAATGACGCTGAGGGTTGGGTAATGCAACCAAGGCTTTCTCAGAAGCACCTTGTCTTTCCTCCAGAATGGGGAGAGGTGGCATAATAACATAGGTAGATGGACCCAAACCCTCACATCGAATCTCTGCAAGCTTTGGTGAAGTCCCAATCCATAACTAAACCTTACTCTGGCACTGGTCTTCCATAGGGCCTGAAGCAGAAAGCCATATCTGAACAGATCCTCCTTATAGAGGGGCCTGGGTCCCACTCCTTTTTGCTGAGCTGTACTGCTCAGGTCCAGCTGTGTAAGGAAGTGAAATCTTGCAGCACATCCTAGCAGACCCATGTCTGCTCAGAAGTGATGTTGCCATTACAGAAGAGACAGCAATGGCGTCTGGTGCTTACAAAAAGGGACTGGTAGTCAGGACTCCTGAGTTCTAATGCTAGCTCTGCCACTGAATCATTGCATGACCTTGGGCAAATTAGTCCAATGCTTCCGCTTCCCAACCCGTCACTCTAGAGCAAAAAACCAAAGTCACCTTTTGAAAGCATGTTGGGATCCTCGGATGAAAACCACTGCACGCAGACAAAGTATTATCGTGGTCTGACTGCTTAATACTTGGTTATTCCATCATGTATGTTCACTCTTCTGCCTCTTATTGACATGGAGGCCAGGAGTTAGCCCCCCCACCCCCACCCCCCGCAGGTGCCTGGCTCCAGTGTGCAAGGAGCTACCTCCAAGCTTAGGTTGACTTTGTGACAGCATCTTACGGGAAATGAGGTTAGATTTGATACCCATGCTGTTCTGGCTCACGGGGAAGTTT